TATGTCTTATAGGGTTTTTACAGTTATACAATATTGCACTCAGTATAAATTTTAATTTTTAATAATGAAATGGAGATCTTTTTAAAGGTTAAAACATCATTTAATTTATGTCTTATAGGGTTTATACTGAGTACAATATTGTATAACTGTAATAATTCAACTGTAAGCCTAAAAATTTACAGCCAAATTTGAAAGAGATGCATCCTACTTCAGGAAAACGTTATTGAATATGTCAATTGTGTTGTAATGATATGCTTCTTCTAAGTATGTTGTGAAATAAAAATAAATTTTTTTTAATTAAAAAAAAAAAAAAAAAGAAGCACTGGGCTGGCAGATGGCTTATCAGGTAAAGGTGCTTGCTGCCAAGCCTAACAATTGAGTTTGACCTCCAGAACATACACAGTGGAAGCAGAGAGCTGACACTAGCAAGCTGTCCCTCTGACTTTCTCACATGCACAACATGGTATGAGCATGCCAATACACATATACACACTAAATAAATAAATGAATGTAAAAAAACAAAAACGAAAAACCCACAAGCATCTAGCTGGGTGGTGCACTCTTATAATTCACCAACACTCAGGAGGCTGAGGCAGAAACGTCACAAGTTTGTTGCCAGCCTGGGTTATTATATAGTCACAACCTGTTTCAAGAGAACAAAAAATAACAAAAACCCCAACCAGCACCCCAAAACCCACCAACCAAACAAAATATAACCATCTAGCATAGACCAGAGTAAGATAAACTGCCTATTAGATAGTCAAGTTAATCATCTGTGTGGCTTAAATGAGAGCCCACTGAATGTACCATTGAAACAGATTGACAGGTAGGAATCTCATCTTTCTCTTTCATGCCAGGGATGAGATAGGGAAAAAAATGCACCCTTTGTGGAAGCTACCTATATCTGTCCTATTTGGCAGATTCAAGGAATCATATTTTAAGAAAAAACTACATATAAAGAAACAAGAACTATTATCTAAATGCTTGATTACAACTCCTTAATTTGTCTTTGGATACAGTTTCTTCCTGTGTTCAGTCAAAGAGGAACATAGATGACTTCTCACATTCCCAGCTCTGACTTCAGGATTGTTTGGACAATGAAGCAGTTACCTTCCTGTTCCTCTTCACTGTCACTCTCTAGAAATCTAGAATCCATGCGGAATCTCTCATCACTTCCAAAATGCAACTGTAAATCCATGAGCTGCATTAAAAAAAATGGACATAATTGATAACCACACTCTGGAAAAGTCTCCAAGTGTACCTCCCCATGCCCTGAAATTTATATTACTATGCATAACTGCACGTGCCTGCCTATGAACCATAGGTCAGAGAGGATTCACTCCCAAAATGAATACCCCATACTAGAATCTGGATCAAGGCCTCCTCACCTTTATCCAGATTTGAGGACTTCCTTCAAAAATTAGAAATGCTACAAGTTTTTTTTATTTTCAGTCTTCACTAACCTTTAGTCCAGCTCTGCCCTCAAACTGAGGTTTAATGTTGAACCTGTTGCTGTCATCCTTGGAATCAGAATCTTCTTCATCACTGCTGCCAAAGAGCTTCCCAGATGCTTTACCCATGGACTCTTGCTGTATAGATGAAAACAGAAATATTAGCAGAGGCTATTAGCATTTCTTTTATAATGTAATCTTCCCCCTACATTTAAAAACCAATAACCCAGATCCATCTATAGGAACAAATAGATAGGGGGGCGGTCAAGTAAAAATTGCTGACTCAGGGATTGCTGACTTGCCTCCTAGATCATTAACTCACAAGTTCCCTGTTGCCACTCAGATTTGAGGAACAACTAATACATGTAAGAACACTCCCTATAGTTTTTCATGAATATATTGATGTGACTTTTCAGATGAGGTGGAGAACATAGGTTCATGGAGAAGAAAATCTCCAAGACTCCTGAATCTCAAGGTGTGGTAGCCTGGGCAGCCCTGAGTATCACTGCAGTTCCAAAGATACTGTGCAGAACTGGCAGTTGTCTGGAACTTTTGTACAGATGTAGATTTTACAGCTGATGTGCTAGTATACACCTGTAATGCCAGACTAATGCAGAAGGATTGAAAGTTCAAAGGCAGCCTGGGCTACACAGCATCCATATCTCAAAAAAGAAAGAAAAAAAAAAGAGGAGGAGAGGGGACTAACAAAGTACACTAATATCCACAGGAAATGTCTGGAAGATCTTACTTCTACCAGTTCCTCTCTTGGAAAGCTTTGCTCTTGTATTGATGTCTTTTCCATTTCATTTTCACTATCAGAAGCAAAGATGATGTGTGTTGTTTTATCCTCTGGACGACCATCCTAGTAAAGCATCAGAAGCATTACATTTTATGAGAACCCGGCCTTAAACTGAACATGTCCTCACCCATCATCTTCCTTTGCCATGTATCCTTCTTATCCAATGAGTGCCATTATCACCTGCTAGTTTTCCAAGACAGAAACTCAGGACTACCCTCTATATCCAGTGACCACCAAGTTAGATTAATATGATCTTGGTATCTTTAAGAATTATCATCGCCTTGGTTGTGGCTCTCGACCTCTGAAAGGCATTCCCTGCTTCCAGATCTGACCCATTGTACTTGTTGTTTGTCATGGCTTAAACAATCTCTAAAATACAGGTTAACAGAATTTATCTGTAAAGGGTCAGAGTTAACATTTTACATGCCTGCAAGTCACATAGGGTCTCTGTCATGTATTAAAAACCATTTGGACTAGATGCCCTGTGAGTTGTAATGAGCCAATTCCCATCCCAAAATGTACATAATTAATCTTCAATGTCTTGATCAAAGCCCTCACTTTTTCAGAACTTTAGGGAAAAAGTCCACCTCTGCACTCTATGCATGACCCACTCATACTAATCACTGCAACCTCATTTCAGATCTTGATACACCTGGTAAGTATCAGTTTCACTGAAAAAAAAATGCTTTCAGACAAAGAGCTTCCCTTTGTAGGTCTATCTTTCCTCTCCTTTGCTGCCCTTCCATGTCTGTCTAATAACTACTTATCTTTTCACATTACTCAGTTTGGCTGAGGACACTTGACCAGCTTGGTGTTCCATGACTGCCTGCCTACTACACTATGCATCAATAGCTACATAAGCATGAGGACTATCACCTTTATTCTGTCAATATAGCAATTAAAAGTGGACCTGACTGTTGGAGGAATGAACAAAGGCTCATTACAGGAACTGCCAGCAAGGCATAACCCTCATTGTAATCACTAAATTATGTATAGTTACTTAATGAGGTAATGAATTTTAGATAAATTTAAAATGTTTTCAGTACATTTTGTTTAATTTTACTTCCTTTAGATAATCTAAGTGATAAAAGCTGGTAACCTGAAGGACAAAAATTATCAACTGAATACAAAGACAGTGAGCTCTATGGGGATACACTTACCTTTGTGGGAAGAAAAAATCTGTGGACTTTCAGAGTACTCTTGTTAAAGCCATAGAATGAAAACACTCACCAAATTTGCCAGTGCATTATGCACCAGCTTCTTCTGTACCTCTCTGGCTTTCTGCCTTGCTGCCAAGGCTGCCAATCGCTTCTGATTGTCTTTGGCATGCTTATCCTTAGCATTCATGTCTGACACATCACTCAAAGAAAGTAAGATACTAGTTGTGCTTTTCTGAGGTGCTTTCCTGGAAGAGACCTCTGGTGGTATCTCAAGAGATGTAAGGCTGCTTGAATCAGACCTCTCTTTTTTTGAAGTGCCTCTATTTTCAAGACTATGGCAAGCATCTTTGTCAAAGTCTATTTTATGGCTCTTTACACTAAGACTTAAAGACTTTTTACCTTTTAATGGCAATAGACACGAGATAGGATTTTTACTTCCCTTTTCAGAACTGGTAGAGGACATTATCATATGGTTCTGGCTCTCAAAAGTAAACTTTATTTTTTGAGGCTGAATGTGGCCTTGGCTGTTCACTTTCTTTGCAGGTTGCAATAAAGTTGATTTGTTTGATAGGCCATTAGCACACTTGGATCTGTTTTCTAAAGAAATGCTATCGGGATCTTCAGGTTTCAAGGAACTCTGATGTTCAGTAATATTATTAAAGATATCATTTTCTTTCACGGTTTTGTCCACCGATTCCCTTGCATAGAGACAGCCTATTCCCTTGAACTCCTGGAATTTTGGTTTTAAGTTGTTTCCCTCTGGTTTCTGCTTACTGTAAGTGTTCTCTTCCTCTAAAAGGGAGGCCACAATCTCTTCAGGATGGATGCACTGTCGGCTACTGTGGAGGCCATGGGGAGTCTTGGGACTCTTGGAGACTCTGTCGGACTTGTAGTGTTTAGGAGTCTGAAGGCCATCACTCTCATCTTTTCCTGGAATCTCCTGGTGATTGCTAGCCAACTTCTCCAAATCAGCCAAAGTGAGGCTCAAACGGGGACAGTTTTTCATCAAGGCTTTATACTCTTCTTCACCTTCGGACTTTTCACTGTCACTACTGCTGGAGTCAGATGGAGATTTATGATTGAGAGACTTTACTCCATGACTTAGGGTCAATTCTTCACTGTTTTTAGCTTTTTGTAATTTAATACAATCAGTTGAAAAATCTTTCTTTCTGAAAGAACGTTTGTTGTTTATAGGTTTTTCTGTTTGTGAACATTCTGTACTTTTTTTGGTCTTATCAATGCTTTTTTTCATTGCAATAATTTCATCTGTATCACTTGAATCATATTTACAGTCATTTCCTATGTTACCATTGCTAACATGACAGGAGACATTACTGATTCCTAAACTGGCTGGTGAATGTAGTCTGTGAATATCTGATTTGAAATCATCCCTCACAACTTCAAAGGGATCACTTTCAGATTCATTTACTGAGGAACATCTAGTTTTTTGTAAGTTTTCCTCTTCTGCAATCATCATTTTTAATTCGCCTTCAGAGTCAAGGTCATCATGATTAGACATGCTACTTCTCTTCCAAATAATGTCAAAATCAGAAGTATGAAGAGGTCTTGTATCAGAATTGGACGCAAGGAGTGGTTTAAAAGGAGTAATGGAACCATGCTGTGTTGATATGTTATTCTCTAGCATTTGATTAGTCTTTGAATTCTTATCAGAAACTTTGGATTCCATGGAACCCTCATCCTTCTGTACTTTTATGATCTTCTTGGGAGGGCCATGAAAGTCAGAGAACTCTCCTTGACGTTTCTTACTCATAGGGTCATTGCTGCCTTCCAATTCCCAAGTGAGGCTAGTTATGGGAACGATATCTGTGAAATTCTCCTCTATCTTCTTTAGGTTGTGGCAGTATTTTGATGGATCATATTTCATAATGTTACTCAGAGTCAAGGAACAAAAGCACAAACACTGGGTGTTAGGGAAACCTACCAATTTGGTAAACAGGAAAACTGTTTAGTCTTGAACAAGCCATTTATTTAATCTCACCTTCAATTTCCCATCAGACAACATGAGGACTCTACTAGGTAAGCTTCCAAGATCTATGAAACTGAACTTTCTATTGACATATCCAGAGTTAAAATCAAGCACCATCACTATTAGTTGGCAGAAATTACTTAGATCATAAGTACTACAGCAAACTGCACAGAAGCCCATGACACTAGCTTCTCAAGGTCTCAGATAACCAGACCTCATGGAATAGGCATCAGGATTTGTTCACCTTGAGCTCCATACTATTTCCCTACACATTATCTTCTTGCTTTTCAGCATATTTTTATTCATTTTTTCCTTTAGAACTAATTTGTCCTATAATTTTTCTATCAATTCAAAAGCTACCTCAATTCCTCCAAAGTCTTCTTTAACAACAGATTCTTGTTCTTTGTCCTGTATTGCTCCATTAGCAATTGCTCGTGGATGCATATGTAGTAAGCCATATAAATTACAAATGAAAGGTGCTTCCTTGGCACTTAACATTCATATTACGTAACTGCATAAAACTTCATGTCAGTCATTATTCCCTGAATTGCTTTACACATGTAAATAGGTCTTACCTTGCAGGAAAAGCGGTAACATGTTCAAACAGCTAAAAAATTACTGATAGAGGCAGTGAGATTCAAAAGGCATTTTTCAAGTATCCATTGCTATGAGAATAATAATTACTGTGAAAGACTAAAGGATATTTTATGTTTATGTTGACTCTTAAGGTGAAGAATAGGTAAGATTCTTCCAAATTTACTTACAACCCAATTCTAGAAGGCAAAAAAGCATTTACACATATATTGCACAGTATATATTACACATATATTGTCACAAATGTAAACAAAATATTAATACATACATGTAATTTTTAAAAAGTTGAACTTAGCTGGATGTGGTGGTACATGCCTTTAATCCAAGCACTCGGGAGGCAGAGGCAGGCAGATCTCTGTATGTTTGAGGCCAGCCTGGTCTACATAGTGAGTTCCAGTTCAGCTGGGGCTACAGGGAGACCCTGTCTCAAGAAGACCAAAAATAAATAAATAAATAAAAAAGTAAAACTTACAGTGGGCTATTATTACTGTTGAGTTTAATTTTTTGACAATGAAATGAAAGGTATCAATGAGAAAAAGTATGAGAGAAAACAAAAGAGAAAATTCCAAATATATCATGGATGGCATTTGATACACACACACACACACACACACACACACACACACACACACACACACACAAAGTGGGCAATTGAAGAAAGCTACCTTCAGGTATATCCCCAAGCTTCTGAGTGAGAGAAATGTCACCCAAAGACGCCTGAATATGCAGGCTTCTTGCTGACCACACAATATGGGGAGGGGGCAAAAATAAAGACCTTGAGTGCTCCGTGTTGATGGTGGCACTTTACATGGGGTGAGGGACGCTTACAAAGA